TGAAGGCAGATGATTCTTTGCTTTCAGTAGTAAATTCGGACTGTGTGTGTTGAGGATTGATGTATTTTGATGATGATAGTAAAGCCAGCGTGTCTCCTGGGTGTAGTGCCGGGAGTTCTAGACTGAAACGTTAGGTTTCAAGAAGGATCATTTCATGAGATCCAGAAACTCTCAAGCTCCGAAGAACGGTGCCTGTTTCCTACAGCCATCCTGAGCAGCAAAAACAAGGATCAGGGGAGAGACCCTCTGCCTCCCAAGTCTGCACTTTGAGCAATAAGGCTGACGCTTGCGGGCCGGGCCGTCTTCGTATCATCCGAGTTTCAAGCAAATTCTACACGGATTCCACCGCCTCAACTTTTGGGAGGAACTCGGCTGCTCTGGGATGGATGGGGCTCATGCGCTTCAGGTGACAGGGGAGCATCACCGGCGCCATAGCCTGGGGGAGGCTGCAGAGTCCTCTCCTGAGAGTTCCTAACAATAACCAAAGATAGACTCCCCTTCTCAAACTGTCTTCCACCGGCCGCAAGGGGGAGCACATCCAGGCGGGCTGCACCTGGCAACCCCAACTCTTCCAGCTCTCTCCAGTCAGGGTCCCCACCGTCTGTCCGTCCACTCTCTAAGGCACACTGGGCAGTGGGTTCCTGGTTCTCAGGCATGGAGATGCGGTTGTCTTTGCACCATAGCTGGCCATCTCCCTGGTTAGTTGATCACAGGTTGCCAAGTCCTTTTTAGAGCAGAAGTTATCCCCGACCCCGTCCTACCCTCCCCCCCCCCCCCCCCCCCCCCCCCCCCCCGCTTTTAACAAGAAAGCCGGGCTCCTAGAGAAGGTGAAATTCCAGCGAGGACGAACTTGGGAGCGGGGCTGAAGCGGGTCGAAGGAGGTGGGACGCATCTCCTCGTCTCTTCTGAAGTTACAAGCCTTTCGGACTTCTTCCTCTGGTTTGGACTGTGATGTTGGCAACCCAGAACTCTCCTGCGGACTCCGAGGACGTAGCGCCCGCGCTTCCTTCGCCACTAGGCGCCGCTGCGCACTCGCCAATCGCGGCCCGGGGTCCTAGTGGGCTCCAAGAGAGAATGCTTGGGCTCGCCAGAAAAGGATTTGCCCTGATGATTTTAAAATGTTTTTAAGGTCTTAATTCTCTTTTTCTTTTCCCACCGCCTCCCTAGCTTCCAGACGCCGGAAGGGCTGGGAATAATATTCACAGCGAGTTGGAAGACTTTTCGGCCTGCTCCAGGCCACTCCATCTCAGATCACCTTTGGCATACCAGGGGCCAGTAAGGGTTCTCATTTCCCTGGCCCCGGTACGACGCTGCTGGCGCATAGTGGGACTCATCACTCTGGCTCATTGTGGGGTCCAAACCCGAAACTCACAATATATTATTAAATGGGATGAACGCTAATAGTGAGCCATGCTCACCCACTTCTCTCGTTGACCATTAAGATGTTGATACTTCCTTTTCACGGATGCAATAAACTAAAGCACAAGAAGTCACACAGGTAGGGAGCCCAGACAATCCTACCCACGGGAGCTGTATGGAGCCATGCACCCATCCCAGATCTCAGATACCTCTTGGGTCTAGCATCCAAGCAAGAGGAGGAGAGCTCTGCAGTTTGCACTAGAAGAGCAGAGGCCCTGAAGGAAAGTCAGAGATCTACAGAAATCTCTGCCTTTTGCTATCTTCAGAGAGCCAATAATCCAGGCCACTCTCACCCCAGCACCCCCTGGGGGAAGTTCGTGGCCTTTGGGGGAACATGAGGGAACTGGGCAGGACTGAGACCAGCATGAACTCTTTTGACCAACTTTATTGTTCCCAGTCAGTGAAGTCCTGGCTGAGGGTAGAAAATAACAGCAGCATCCACCAGAAGGTCTGACTTTTATTCATGTTCATTATGCGCTGGACACCGTTGGAACACTTTGCTTTGCCTGAACTCTTGTAATACTCTCAAAATACTGTTATTTATTTCTGTTTAGAGGAAGAGAAAACGGAAGCAGAGAGGGTAGGTAACTTGCCCACAGTCACATTGCTAAACTGTAAATTTGAGGGGGAGGTGTTAGAAGGTATAACATAGTAAAACTCACACTTGGTACTGTACTACAAGTCTTGAAACACAGTGCCCCCATGATGGTAGAGGAGCGCACTGACTACTGCTACCTAAACACACCAGCTGTATTTTTACATGGGACAACATGAGGTTTCGAGACGCTGAGGTGTTGTACCCAGGTCCTTTATGATTAGAACCTTCGCATGTCTGCTAGTTCTCAGTCCCCAGTGGCCCAGGGTGCTGCACACCGGGCAGAGACGCAGCCCCACTCAATGCACAGGTACTTAACCAAACCTTCCTGAGTCCTTAAGGAACAAAAGAAATATGAATTCTGCTAGGCCAGAAGCCAGGGGTGACTCCTGGCTATCTATGATCTCTGGGTCCCAAGCTAGACTCTAGCACCCAGGGCTCTAGTGGGCCTCCCCTGCAGGGCCTCCCCTGGCCCCGCGTGGTTAATGAGTTACTCTGCTAGTTAATTCCTCCCCACATTGGGGCCCCCTGCTGGATCTTTCCCTTTCCCTGGCACCTCAGATTGATCGCATGAATTAACATAGATTACTTGGCTTCCAGGGCTTCCCCCAAGGCCCCTGATTCAACCCGGAAACAGCTTCTCTTTCAAGAGGGTGGAGGGTGGGCAGACCAAGGCCTGGTGCCACAAAGTACTTGGGGCAGAGAGGCTGAATGCCCTGCTTTCTTAAAAAATTCAGGCACCAAACCTTAGCCATAAGCTCTTAGCCACCTGCAGACCACCCAGAGCCCCTGCAGGCAATCCTGGCACTCAAAGGGCAATTTGCAAGAGGCAGGTGGCCTGCAGAGGATGCCACACAAATGGCTAAATGTCCCTGCCTTAGGCAAGAGTGGACTGTAGACTTGGTCTCTAGCCAGTTTCTCATTCCCTTAAAGGACAATTTCCCAACATATTCTAGCCCAAAGAGGTCAAGGGTTAAGTAAGTACCATCTACACCTTAAACACTCAAGACCAAAATTTTAAACCCCAGTGTATCACACACCACGGAGTCTCACTCAAATCTTCCAGACAGGTCTGGATTCCCTGGCCCTCAAAGTCAATGTCATATCCCAACCAAGATCCATTAATGCTGTGCATTTAAAGGACCACACTGGCTGACATGACATCCTGGGTGAGGCTTTTAGTAGCCCTGGTTTGGAGTCTGAGTCTCAGGCTTGACCTGGAGGCCTGGCTCTACTCTTCTGCCCTCCTCCAGAGGATCCACAGTATGTTCAAATGGGAGTGTTTGCTTCTAACTTTGGAGGCCCCAGCAGACCCCTAGCTCAGTCAGGGCTCACTTGGCTAGGCACAGCCCAAGATTTCCACCTTTCACTGGGCTTCAGGCTTTCTGGGCTCTGAGCATGAGGCCTCTATCTCCACAGCCTAGTCTAGGAAGGGATTTCAAAGTTGTATTGGAGATGGGGGAGACAGTGGTTCAGGCCTGAGGAGAATGTGGCCTTCAAATGTACCCTGTTTCAAGGGGCTGGATCTAATGCCTAGAGTCTCTGGGCTTGCCAAAAAGGAGGGACAAAGCAAAGCCAGCTGGAACAGAAGGTAAAAATGGCCAGGATCACAGGACTGGTGGTACAGAGGTCTGAAGGGCAAATTTCTTCCAGTGTGAGGGAAAGCTGAGGCTCATGCCTGTCTGCTGGTTTAAGTGTGCATATGTATTTGCCCCACCTTGAGTACTCTGGGGGGATTCAAAGTGAGAGGGCAGTAGAGATGATTAATGAATCTTTCTGGAACCTCATCTACACCAGAAAACACCTTTCTCAATTCCCCTTCTGCCTAGGGAATCCCTGGACATCCACATCCTGAACTGAGCACTACACAACAAATACACACACACCGTAAACAGCAGCAGATGGAACCAGGGGAGGGGAAGAGGCGCTCTGAGGGCAGGAAACCCCATTGTGGGGGAGTTCTTGGAGCTGTCTAAGGCCCAGACCCTTGGCAGAGTCAGGAGCTTTCAGATCCCCTCTAGTGGAAGTCACTTTTTTTCCCTCAGATTTGCTTCCTCCCAGGTCTCAGGCAACCCCCTCACCAAACACGGGTGTTTCATCCTTTTAAAGATAAATGGCATTGGCCTGGGAATAATAGATTTAAAGGACGCCAGAATTTTTTTTTAAATCATTCATTTTAAACGTGCAAAATACCTGCTGGTACTTCTCTTTAGAAGAATGCAATTGCCAAAACGGGGGAAAGAGGAAAAAAGAGGAGGCTGATGAATAGATAATAGATCTTTAACCACCAATAAACAGAGAGCAGCGCCAGCAGCCTGGGGGATGTGATCATAATTATGCCTCTGTGAGAGCCAATGGGGACGAGAGAACTCGGCCCTAAAATCATCCCAAAACGGAAGGCGAGCTCGAAAATGCGGACAGGGTCTAGGACCGGAGACGCGATCCGAAGTCCCTAGTTGTGAAACCTGGGTTTGCGCAGCAACCCAGTCCTGGGAAGACAGATGTCAGAATAATAATAGGAACATTATTGTTGTTACAATAATAGTAGCAATCATGATTTCAATGACCACACTAATAGTGATACCGAATCCCTAATCCTAACACCACCTCAATTTCCGACCTAGGACCTCAGGCTCCTTTCCCAAATATCCCAGATACCCAGAAGTATCTGTTTGGGGAAAGGAGGTGAGCACCCTCCAAGACAGAAAAAAAAAAAAAGCGGAGACTGTAGGGGAGCTGGAAGCCTAGGGCATCAGCACAGGCACGGTTGACCCCTCAGATTTCCTCTTGCAAACGAGGAAGCCGAGCCGGGTCAAAGATTGCAAGCGCACGGACCAGGGTCCTCCAAGCTAAGCGTGGTTAGAGGGGTGGGAGGACGCACTCTCCGCAAGCACCTAGGAAACCTCAAGTCTTGCTGGGGGTGGGGATTGGTATAAGCGAAGGAGCCTTTAGCCCTAGCTCTGCACAGTCCCCGCCCGCTACTTACCCTCGCGGTGCGCCCTTAGCCATCTCAGGGACCCTGCCGTCGGGCTGCAGGGGACGGTGGCTGCGGAACTCTGGGCTTGAGGAATCTGCACGTCTGTCGGTTGGTCTGTCCCTCAGTCCAAGCAGCTCCGGCACAGCAAAGGTTTAGTTAGGATCCAGGGGGCCGCAAGCAGCCAACGCCGGCCGGGGACTCTGCAGGGACCCGGGTGTCCCGGAGGGAGTGGTGTTGGTAGAGGAGGAGGCGGCGGCTGCCGGAGGAGGTGGGGAAAGAGGAGGAGGAAGAGGAGGAGGAGGAGGAGGAGGAGGAGGAAGAGGAGGAGGAGGAGGAGGAGGAGGAGGAAGAGGAGGAGGAGGAGAGCGAAGCGGAGGAAGAGGAGGAGAGAAGCCGCCGCGGACGCCGCGGGAGCGTGAGAGCTAGCTCTGAGCGCCGGGTGAAGGCGCAGAGAGGTCGGGCGGCCGGGCGGGCTGGCGGCCGGACGCGCGGCGGGGGCAGCGGCGCCGACTCCGTTCCACTCCGGGCCCGGATCCAGGCCTCCGGGTTCCCAGGCGCTCGCCTCCCTCTGACGCACTTTAAAGAGTCTCCCCCCTTCCACCTCAGGGCGAGTAATAGCGACCAATCATCAAGCCATTTACCAGGCTTCGGAGGAAGCTGTTTATGTGATCCCAGCACTAATTAGGCTCATGAACTAACAAATCGTTTGCACAACTTGTGAAGAAGCGAACACTTCCATGGATTGTCCTTGGACTTAGGGCGCCCTGCCCGCCTTTTGCAAAGGGGAGAAAACTTTTTTTTTTTTGCTTCCACAGAGAACCCCCCCCTCCTCCGGCCTCTAACTCCAACCCCCCCCACCATCTCGCAGGAAAAAAAAATTATTACCCCAATCCACGCCTGCAACTTCTTCGGGAAGAATTTTTCCCCCCCTCTCTCCAGGTTGGGCGCGTTTGGTGCAAGATTCTCGGGATCATCGGCTCGGCCTCTCTTCCCCCCTCCCCCTCCTTTCCTTTTTCCTTTCCTTTCTTTCTTCCTTTCCTCCCCCCCACCCCCACCCCAAACAAACGAGTCCCCAGTTCTCGTCGGTCCTCGCCGCGGGCAGCGGGCGGCGGAGGCAGCGCGCCACGGTCGCCGGGAGCTGGGAGCCCAGGGCGCCGGCTCCTCGGCGCAGCATGTTCCAGCCGGCGCCCAAGCGCTGCTTCACCATCGAGTCGCTGGTGGCCAAGGACAGTCCCCTGCCCGCCTCGCGCTCCGAGGACCCCATCCGTCCCGCAGCGCTCAGCTACGCCAACTCCAGCCCCATAAATCCGTTCCTCAACGGCTTCCACTCGGCCGCCGCCGCCGCCGCCGCGGGCAGGGGCGTCTACTCCAACCCGGACTTGGTGTTCGCCGAGGCGGTCTCGCACCCGCCCAACCCCGCCGTGCCGGTGCACCCGGTGCCGCCGCCGCACGCCCTGGCCGCCCACCCGCTGCCCTCCTCGCACTCGCCACACCCCCTCTTCGCCTCGCAGCAGCGGGACCCGTCCACCTTCTACCCCTGGCTCATCCACCGTTATCGATATCTGGGTCATCGCTTCCAAGGTACGTGCCACGTCGCGGGTCTGCAGCGCGCGGCTCCCGCAGCATCCTCTACGGTGCCTGGCCTGCTCCGGCTGGGCGCTTGGCGAGGCCTGGGCAGAGGTTCCATCCGCGGGCCATCACGGTCCAGAAACCCGGCAGCGAGGGCCCGGCGCGGAGTCGGTCTCCCCAGTCTCGGAAGTCAAGGCTTGTTTAGATTGCTGACTTGCGCCTGGGGCCTCACCCTTTCCGAAGGGGTGCGAACGAGCTGTTCCCCCTACGCCCCGCTCGCGGTTGGCTGGGACAGTCTGCTCTGCAGTGCCCGCTGTCAAGAAGCCCTGAGCCCGCGGGGTCCCCAGAGTTCCCGGCTGCGCTGGTTCTTAGGCTCTCGGACTGGGCGGGATGGCCAGGTTCACCTCCGACTGTGTGCGGCTCCGATCCAGCCCCGACCGCGCTCGCCCTTCCAGCCCAGACCCGCGACTTCTAGGTCTCCGAGACCGGGGGACTTTCGCTACCCCGAAGCAAACTGTTTCCTTCCGCTTGCTCTTTAGAGGCCAGGAGAGGGGTGGGAACCCGAGTGGGTGAAAAAAAAAAAAAAGAAAAGAAAGAAAGAAAAAAAAAAGAAAAGAAAAAAAAAAGAAGAAAAAAAAAGGCCTCTGGTGCTCAGCCCGGTCTTGGCGTCCTCTTTTAATCCGAGCACCCACTGGATGCGGCGGGAAGGCAGGTTCAATCTGGTTTCTGTTTTGGTTTTGTTTTTCTTTTTAAAAAAGAAAGTCGAATGAAGAGAAGGCCTGAGAAGCAAAAATCTGTTTGGTTGTCTTCGTTTTTTTCCCATTTGTAAATTTTGTTTGTTTATCTCCAGGTGGGGGGTTGGGAGGGAAGTTAAAACTTTAGAAAAAGGATTGAGTAGTTAATTTACCTACCCGAGTCCATAAAAGACCCACTTCTGGCAGGGCCGGATCGATACCGAGCGGCTTGTTCATTCAATAACACTTCGCATTTCTACCAGAGTCTAGAATCGGGCACATGCCACCTCGCCACTGATTTTAAAAAAAAGGCAAAGAAAACAAAACAAAAAAAGCAAACCAAATCAAAACATCTTTTGTCCTTTGGACCTATACCGAATTTGCCTCCATTCCCGTTGAGGCTATCTGTTTATTTTTCATTGTTTGGGGTTTTGGTGGCTAGATTTCCTACTAAGTGAGAGAAGCTGAGATAGTCTAGCTTTGCTCTCAAAGTTTAGGGCTCAGCTGAATCCTCTGGTCGCCTCACTAGATCAGGAGCAACCCTTATCCTCAGAACTGCAGACCATCCCGTTGGGTATCTTTAGCTTGGTCCACCCAGAGGCTCGGATCCCTAAGCTCTTGATCTCCAAGTTCCTTGCACCCGGGGAGCCACAGAGCCAGGCCCTCCCGAGGCAGCCGCGATAGAAGCCGGCACAACCGCCTCCAGCTTCCAGACCCGGCCTGGCTACAACGACTCGCCTGGCCTCAATAATTTACCAGAGACCCCCCCCAAATGTTTTTTGAATACATCCGTGAGAAAATTATGGGCAGAGCCCTGCTGCCTCTCCACGCTGAGGTCAAAGTTTCTCGAGAGGTTAACAAGAAGGGAACCTTTTATTATTTTTTTGGATAGTGGACGTCAGTCTCCTTGCCTGGGATCTGTTGCCTGTTCCTCTGCCCCCAGTGCGGGGCATGGAGGCGGCCAGGGCTGCAGCGCCAGGGCGGTTGTGGAACCCGCGGAGGTGGGGACTAGCCCCTCTGAGACAACTGCTTGTTGGGTACCTCCCAGGTTGGAGCCCTGGGTCCTGGGGTTTGGCAGCATCCTTTTCCCGAACGTGGGGAAGCCCACCAGCCTGGGCGGGTCTGGCGCCGCAGGACTAGGCGGAGGCCGGGGGAGTTCTGCCTGGCTAGCCCCGTTCCAGAGAAGCCCACAACTCAAGCTTAGGTAGCCCCCCCCCCTAATGGCACTTCTGCTGTGCCCCCTGCAGGGAACGACTCAAGCCCGGAGAGTTTCCTTTTGCACAACGCGTTGGCCCGAAAGCCGAAGCGGATCCGAACCGCCTTTTCGCCGTCCCAGCTTCTAAGGCTGGAGCACGCCTTCGAGAAGAATCACTACGTGGTGGGCGCGGAAAGGAAGCAGCTGGCGCACAGCCTCAGCCTTACGGAAACTCAGGTGAGTGTTGCCCAGCTACCCGGGTACCCGGTATGGGCAGAAAGCCTGGGGTTCCAAATCTCCAGACCAGGCCGCCAGTGCCCAGCATCTTCACCTCCCCAGGGGGCCCGCGGAGCCTGAATCCACTCTAGGGCTTTGGATCTGTAACTTTCCTGGTGCTCACTTTGTTAGGCTCTGGCAAGGGGCTGTAGGAGCTGAAATGTTGAGCTCCATTTTCTGCCCCGCCTGGCAGGCCTCGGCATCTGTAGGCTAAGACACCTCTGCACTTTTAGTGAGACTTTTAGTGAGAATCTCGGGGACTCAACTGGGCTGAGGGAGTTTGCAGCAGGATGCACTGGTGATTGGGGCTCGAAGCTGAAGAAGGCAAGAAGTGGATGAGGGATGAGTTCTGAGTGATTCTAGGCCCCAGGCTTTCAAGGTCCATCAGGTGTCTCCCCTTAAGGGGGTGCGGAAGAGTCTGTAGCTGGCTGTCCCCGAGAGGGGGATCAGGTCTTTCTGCGCAGCAGGGTATCGCGGAGGACCCGACTGGGGTTAGTCTCAAGGCCCGGAGCCTGGTGAGGGCTACAGTAGGTGCTACTGTACTCCAAGTCCCAGGGGCAGGGTCAAAGTTCCCAGTAAACAGTAACGTTTTCAGGCAGATTAAGTTGTAACACTTTTTCTGCGAAGCGCAAAAAAGGTGTTTTTTAAAGTAACACCTCCGCAGGGGTGGGGGCGTTGGGGGTGAGGGGATAAAAACAAGGAAGAGGGCCTCGCGGGTTTGTGCAGGGCGGGCACAAGGCAAGGCCGGGCTGATTTCTCCTGGACACCGAGGCAGCGGTGGTCTTTGTCCGCCTCGCTGCCCACACCGCCCGGAGTCTTTGTGTGCGTGTCAAGCCTGGAGAGCACGGAAGCGCGTTTTGGGCTAATGCAGGGGGCAAAATGAGCGGTCCTTCCTACTTAATTAGCAAACTCAAAGCAAATTAAACTCAGCCTGGTTCCCGCTCTGTTTTTTTCGCGGGGCACTTTGGGGGACAGGAGCACTGGGGAGAATGAACTGGACCCTGTGGCAGTCTTAAGGGAGCGACGGCAGTGGAACCTGAGGGGCCCCAGAGCTCTGGCTAGGAGCTCTTATCAGGGGAGGGGTTGCTTAGAGCATAGGCTGTGGCCACCACCATCTTCTTCACCTGTGCCTCACTACTGGACAACCTTGGGCAGTGTCACTGCCCATTCTGGTTGCTGAATGAGGATCCACCACTCAGCTTCCCCAGGGGGCCATTGACTGACTTCAACCTAGTTCTTTCCCAGACCCTTAGCTGCAAACTCTGGGGAGGCCCAGCTATCAGCCCCTCCTTGGTGGGAAGAGATGTGGCTTGGGCTGAGGTTGTTCCTGCCCTGTTTGTGGGCAGGACAGGAGTTGAGAAGGGCCATCTCCCTCCTCAGGCTCAGTTTATTTAACGTCCTTTCTATCCCACAGTCTTACTGAAGCTTTCACTTTGGCTGCTCCGGAGGCCTGTATGTCCAGCTGCCCACTTGGCTTCCCCCAGCCCCACCCTAGTCCAGCTCACCTGCCAGTGTTCCCCTACTAGGAGACCTGGGCTCAGGCAAACCTCCATCTTCTAGTCAGGGCCCTGGCCTGACAGAGGAGGCGCTATATTTATGCAGCTCCAGACCAGCAGAAAATAGAAAGTATATTAAACCCTGCAGAGACTCAGATCTTTCCTTCACTCACTGACTGGACAAGTTAGGAATATACCTCTTTATTATTTTTTTTCTTTACTTCTTATTTTAACTGAGTCCTACACGCTTTGCAAGGCCTTTGCTTTCAGTCAGATGGATGTGTGTGTCCTGGGGAACCAGGGGGAGAAAGGGCTCTTTGCTCTACAGAGGGCATTGTGGACCCTGGGGAAGGGCTCCTTGGTAAGGTTTAGAAGGACAGGGAACCAGGCTTTCTACCTGGGGGCCCTGCTCTCTGAGGGGAGACTACAGGGTGGTCAGCCCATAGGCTATGCATCAGGGGGACTGGGCTTTCTCCATCCTGGACTCAGGTCTGAGCTGGGGCAGGACATAGGCACTTGATAGGACACTATGAAGCATCTAATGCATCTCACCTGCCTCTCCCTGCAGGTAAAAGTATGGTTTCAGAACCGGAGGACGAAATTCAAAAGGCAGAAGCTAGAGGAAGAAGGCTCAGATTCGCAACAGAAGAAAAAAGGGACACACCACATTAATCGATGGAGAATCGCCACCAAGCAGGCTAGTCCAGAAGAAATAGACGTGACCTCAGACGATTAAAAACACAAACCTAACCCCACAGAAATGGACAACATGGAGCAAAAGAGAGACAGGGAGAGGAGGGGAAGAAGGAAAAAAAAAAACCCTACAAAACCAAACCAAACCACATACACATTCACAGAGGGAGAGGGGAATCAGAGCGTAATGGAGCTCGAAGCAGACTTTGGACAGCAAGGGCACTGGACCCCACACTCGGGATGACAGAGGACGGAGGCCCCTTCATCAACATGCTACCCTCGTCTGAAGAGGCAGCTGAGTGAGTGAAAGAAACAGAAAGGGAAGGAGAGAGAAGAGGGGAAGAAAAAAATGAGAGAAAAAGAGAGAATTCGTTCCTAGCATGGCAAAGGCACATTCTGACAAGGGGCGCTGTCAAAAGCCAAACCAGGGAGACAAGATGATTGGCAGGTATTCCGTTTATTGAAGTCCATTTAAAAAATGATAATAATGATGATTAAAAAAAAAAAAACAACCAGGCACAGGACTTTTAATTTTGCACTTCAAAGTGTTTTCCCCAAATCTTTGATTAGTAATAACATGCAAAATTCCATATCTAACCCCATCCCACACCTGTTTCAAAAACTTGAATTGCATGTAGCAGTTGTTGGGCGAATGGTGTCTAAAAAGACAAAATGAATTGTAATTTTATTTTCCTTTTAAGACAGGTTCTGTGTGTTTTCTAATTTTGATTTTTTTCCGAGAAATGTGCACTCTGTAAACACTTTTTGATACCTTCTGATGTCAAAGTGATTGTGAAAGCTAAATGAAGTAGACTCCGAGATAGTGGTCCTCTTACAGAGAAACCTGGGAGCAGGACAGGGATGGGCGTGGGGGAGGGTATTCATGAGAAGAATCAGGACTTGTGCGGGGAGTTAAAAAAGAACAGAACACTAAATTAATTCTATTTCTTGGACATCTCATTTCCCAACATTCTGAGACTTAAAACCCCAAGTCAACTTCTCCTTTTAGTGGTTGGAGAAATTGACTGAGTTCAACCACTCAATGTAATGACCATTTCAAAACTTTAAATCTGTCTATCGCAAAAACCTAAGGAAGGACTGTAGTTATTATCAGGGGATGGTGGTAGTGTGGCCAAGGACACGCGCCGAGTTTTCAAGCACTGAGTTTCTCTTCCAAGACCATAATAGACTTACTAAAGAGAGTGATGAATACTTCCTTAATGTCTTCTATACCAGAATGTAAATATTTTTGTGTTTTGTGTTAATTTGTTAGAATTCTAACACACTATATACTTCCAAGAAGTATGTCAATGTCAATATTTTGTCAATAAAGATTTATCAATATGCCCTCAGAGTAGTTGTCTTGGGAAATTAAAGTGGATCTTTACAAAAGTATCTCTCTAATTCAATTGTGATCCTTCCCCCACTAGGCTCAAGAGACCCTGACTCCTTCACCTACAAAAAGGCCTGACTGATTCAGACTTTTAGGGGGTTATTTTATAAAGGGATGTGAACAGAGAAGGAAGAGAATTAGGACAACCAAATTCTTTCAGAAAAAGGAAAGGAGAAAATTTTCCAAGCAAAATTGCCTATAGATTGCACGTCTTGCTGAAGGAGTTTAGTTTCAGTGTCATGTTAAAAAATGCTTACTTTTCTTTACCTCCCTTTTTAAAAGCTTACAATGTAGTTATGGATTGAAGAATATTCCCCCAGGAAAGCACTTAGCAGAATAAGATTTCCGGGACTTCTAAACTTTGTTTCTGACTTCCAAACCCCTTAAGGACTCCAACCTCCCCTCTCTCTCCCTTCCTTCCTTCTTTCCTTCCTCCCTTCCTTTCCTCTTTCTCTGACTCCAGTCTGCCAAAGGTGGTAGGGATGAGCCCAAAGGCCCCAGGAGCCTTATAAGGCAAGTGTTCTGAGAAATCTTCCACTCTTAACTTTAAGCAAAAAGTTGTAACCATTCTTAGGGGAAACTTCACTCTGTTCCCTCCCCCTCCTCCTTCTGGGGGTATGAGGTTGTTTTTGCATGCTTCATTTGCTTCCTATCCTGATAGGCTGCATTAATCAGTTTTATTTCCATTGATAGAGAAACCTCGTCTGTTCTGTTCGAGCTACAAAGCGTCCTGTGAGCTTTTGTGAAAGTGCAAATCAGTTTAAGCAATTATCATACCAGGAATATGAAGGGGAAAGAGGAGGCCTTGCGCAGTGGCCTCCTTTAATCTCTTAATCCACGGATCCAGGGGGGCCGCCTGGACATAATTTAGGACAATCTCCCCCACCCTTTACACTGTGATAAGGCCAAGTTACAATGCAGGGCAGAAATACAAGCTTTGTTAACATCATGCCTTGAAAAGTTAAGATTAGACATTCCGTGCACGTGTGGGGACTATAGGGCACTATGGAAATTTTTTCTTTCTGTTTTTCCTCCTCTCCTCTACAGTAGAGTTCATTCTCTGCTTCTTTCTCTCTTTTTTAACCCCCCTATATCTGTTTGTCACTCTTTCTCCCCCTCTGTCTTGGTTCTTCTGTATGTAGACGTGGCTGCTCATACTTTGAGCTCACAAAGACCCTTCCTGGAAAGTACTGCTGTGGCTATGCCAGGCAGAGAGATGATTTCGGGAAGACAGTGCTTGCCTCCCACAGGGACAGGTGCAGCTGGGATGTCCCGCAAACCTGAGTGAGGCCTAGACTGCTTCCACAGCAGGACCATTAGTCACAACAGTCCAGAGTGCTTGCAGTCGTTGCTCCTGAGCCACATCCTTTTCGCTGGAACAAGGGCAGGTTAATCGTTTCATCCTGCCCACCTTTTAAAACCTGGGATGACTCAAAAATACAGAGTGGAGTCCTGTTGAAATTGAGGCTGACCTTTCCAGAAAAAAAGAAAAAATCCCATCCAGATACAAGGGTTTCTGCAGCAACCATATACTTAATTTTAAGTACAAGAAATGGGGATGGTAGTGAAGATTTTTTTTTTTTTTGGTTAAATGTCCTATGCAGTGTAACAGCAATAAAATCATCAGAGAATACTATTAGCTTTGAGGGGGAAAAAAAAAAACCTAAAAGCTTTATTACAAACCAAGCTTTGAAAATAGGGGGGATTAGGCGGCTGAAAGGGTCCCACAATGCTAAGAAGAAAAGGTTTCATGCTAATGAGGTTAATGCCCTTTGTATCTCCGGCCTCCACATCTTCATTACGCGCTATCTCCGGCTGCACCGAGCGGCTCAGAGAGCGGCAATCCACTCCAACGCCCCCCTTCCCGGCCCAAAGAAGGATTTGATAGCAGCTCTGTTCAAACTAGATAATTATATCTTTTCAAGTCGGAATTAAGATAAAGAAAGTGAAGCAGAGGCGGCTCGCCTTGATCCACTGCAAACAAATTTGGCGCACTTTCGAGTCCTCCCCCCCACCCCCACCCCCGCCTCAAAAAGGCAGGACAGTCAGCTTATTAGCCGCTCGTTTGCTTTATTAATTCATCTATTTAAAGTGGCAGGATTAGAGCGTCTAATGTAGGCGCGGGTTGCCGTGGTGCTGAGGAATATAAATATTTGCGAGATGCCATCCCACGATGCCTATCTGGGTGTGGGGCTCGGGGTAGGGTGCGCAGGGGGCGCGTATGCTGCGAAGATACGTTCCCTTCGCTGTGCATTTGAGCTTGGCTAGAGCCCACTGGAGCTATGTGCCCACTAGTGTTCTGTTCCGTGGGCGCCAGGCTTGGATATCCTTGGGCAGGGCTCTCGATGTGCCTAGTGGCCCGGACTGCCCTTTCCTCCCAGAGCACCGTCAACTGTACGCATGTTGCCATGTGTCTTCGGCCGTGACTTGCAGGTTACAAGTTGATGGCATACTTGCGGCCCTGTGGGTCTCCTGGTGCCCAAAGAATGTTCAGGAGACCCAGGTTCTCAGTTTTCCTTTATCCTGGGAGGATTAAAGGGAATAGGCTACGCAAGCCCGCCAGGGCTGCGTTCTCCTGTGACACAGACACACGTGGGCTCTGAGCATGTTTCCAACCTGGAAACTGGTTCCATCCAGAAGCAGCTAAAAAATCATCTGGGGGAAGGCAGAAACCTTGGATCTGTTGCTGTCAAGTCAACCCTTCGCAGCTCTGGTTCTGGATGTCTGGGGTTTCAGCTCCCTGGGACTCTGTTCCTGGCAGCCTAGCCGAGCCGGAGCGGGTGCGTTGGCCGCAGCCTGGAACCTGCCGGGCCACTTTTGTCCTAGGGGCGGATTGTGGCAGCGGCACAGATGCGCCAAGTCTGCCTAGCAGAATGGGGGCTCCGGCCTGCGTGCGGCCTGGGAAACCTCGGCTCCTCCCCGTCCCCGCCTCGGAGTCGCAAGAAACAAAGTCCGGGAGGAACTGGCTTGTCGGGAGGGATTCTGGCAGTTAGGAGGCCGGGCCCAGGGCCCCTGCTCCTTAGTGGGAAGATAGGGGCCCGAATGGGCTGCCCACAAGTGGGCAGTTGCAAATCGGTATAAGGGTGAGTTAGGGTGTGGGTCTGTGATTGTGCATGGGATGTGTGTCTCAGTCTGCGAAACCAGCTGTATTTGTGGATTGTGGAAAGACAGTTGCGTGTCTGGCCCAGGACTTTAGTCCGTTTGTGTTTGTGTGGTTCCCTGCATAGATTCTACCAAGAGGTCTGTCTTTCCTTGCTCCTCCAGATTGTTTTGAGTTAGGGCAAGAACTTGCAGCTGCAGGGTTATGGACGAGTGCCTATTTAAGGTGTGAACACTAACACACAGCTTATTGAACTTGTGCGCAGGTCTGGTTTCGGACAGGGTCTCTGGATGCTGCCCAAGTTTGCATTTCAGAGGGCAGTACGGTGTGTGCGTGGCTTTGGTGTGTTTGACCTGTGGGGACACTTCCCCATGGGTGAGTGGGGGCTCCTGTAATGAGCATCTATACTCAGCATTTAGAGCAGCATTTTTGTTATTTTGGGGTCTAGGCTTGAGAAATTGGTGTGGGTTGGGGTGGTGTTCCCATTGCGCATCACTAATTCCTAGGGTTCAGCAAACCACAGCCGGTTTTTTTCTAGGCCTGCCTCTATTATTCTGGCAATCAGCGCTTGATTTATTTGAGTGGCGCCTCGGAGCAGCCGCGGGCGGGGCGGAGGATGCCAGCCTAGGGTGCTGGGCCACCACGCCGGAATACCGAGCCCGGATGTCTAGTCGGGGCCTCGGCCCCCTGATTTATTTTCCCTAACCGGCCCCGTAGCGAGGGGGAAGTGGGAGTTTTGAGAACCCTCTGACCCCAGCCATGACCTCGCTCCGGGAGGCAGCTTCTCTAGGCTCAACCCAGAGCGCCAGGAAACCCGAAGCGGTGCCACGCTTGAAAGCGAAAGGTCCATTCATCAGCCGCGCCCCAGCGTCTAATTGGCCTTTTGTTCATTAGAGCCTGTTGCCCAGTGGGGGAGCTTGGGAGGGTTCTGCGGCTGCAAGTCGGGGTGCCTGGTGCGGGCTGGGGGTCAGTGCCCATGTCTGGGGCTGTGGTCTCTGTAGGGCAAAAGCCGTCGCGCTCCTCCGAGGGGGCGCCAGCGCGCCAAAGATCAGGAGCACGTGCGAAAATGATCTCCTGGAGGCTGGTCTCCAAAGGTCGGGGCCTGCTCCCAGGACTGCGGAGGCTCTGGGCTTCCTTTGCTGACGCCCTCCTCTACCTGCAAACCTAGCCCTCCCGTAGCGTCCCCTAGATTTCAGATCTGCCTTCGTGTGCCTCTTCCAAGGTCCCAGCCCAGCCCTGCTGTTCTTCACGCTTCGAGTTCATTCACCCTTACTCTCACCACAGAGACTCGGCGTTCCTCTCCCTAGGCTCTGACCTGTACTGCGTGGAGCCGGCACCCCACTTCTTTGAGAGGGAGACTGGCACAAGTCAGGGAGCTGGGAATGGCCCCACCCCTCAGGGATCAGATGGAGAGGAAAACCAGTCTCCCATCACTCCAAGCTCCGCCTCCATCTCCGAGTCAAACCCACCTTTCTCAGCCCTATTTTCCATGCCATGTCCAGTTTCCCAACCACTGAACCCCCTCTCCACTCCACCCGCACTGCGGCTCTGCACAGGTCAGAGGAGCCCCAGAGACAGCACAGGCTCACCAGCACAAGCCCAAGGACGAAGACGCACCTGAGGGGCCCCAGAGGTGCCTGGGCTGGGGCTGGGGTCGCTTTAGGAAAATGAAGGACCAGCTTTGCCTGGCAGTGGCCTGGTTTTCAGCAGCCTCTCAGATCTCGGTGCCTGAACCTATATATAGGACCCGGACTGGTCCCTGCCCCAGCCAGCTTTGGTCCTATATATAGCCTGGGTCTCCATAGCCCCTACCGGACCCTGACGTCAGGACGAACTTGATCTTGCCTGCTT